ATTTCTTAAGGTTTTACAACTTCTGTTGTATGCATTTAGTTAAAAACAAACAGTCTCGGTCAGGTAGTCAAGTAATTCTAATAGAAGCCAATTAGTAAAATAAGTAATTCACACCTGACAGAAATTTCTGGAAAAAGTCAGCAGGCCTGGCAGCATCAGTGCAGAGAAAGCAGAGTTAACGTTTCGAGTCCAGTGACCCTTCTTCAGAAGAAGATGCTGCCAGACCTGCTGACTTTTTCTAGCAATTTCTGTTTTTACTTTTGATTTCCAGTGTCCATAGCTCTTTGGTCTTTTTTTAAAAATTAACCCCTGTCCCAAAACTGGGAAATAACTGGAATCAGCCTCGCTGTTAATTCAGGTTCATGTACTCCTCTCCATTTGAAATGGTATCAGTAAAAACAGCATTTTAACACAGAAACATTAAAAAAGGAGCAGGATTAGGCCATTCAGTATGTTGAGTCTGCTCTGCCATTCAATATGATCATGGCCGATCATCCAACTCAGTGCCCTGTTCCCACTTTTCCCCCATACCCTTTGATCCCTGGGCCCTAAGAACAATATCGAACTCCTTCTTGAAAAAATTCAATGTCTTGGCCTCAACCACTTTCTGTGGCAGAGAACTACACAGGATAATCATTCTCCAGGTGAAGAAATTTCTTCTCATCTGAGTCCTAAATAGGTTATCCCATATTCTCAGTCTGTGACTTCTGGTTCTGGACTCCCCAGTCATCTGGAACATCCTTCCTGTGTTTACCCTTTCTAATCCTGCCTTTTAGGTATTTTTATGAGATCCCCTCACTCTTCTAAACTCCAGTGGCCAAAATACTGATCCACTCTTAGAAGTTAACATCTCAGGTCCAGTGAACTTTCTTCAGAACTCCTAACTTATGCTTGGAATCCTGAATTTCTCTCCCTGACAGCATTGGACTGCAGCAGTTCAAGAAGGCAGCTCATTACAACCTTCTCAAGGACAACTAAATGGGCAATAAATGCTGGCCCAGCCACGTCCCACAAGTGAATAAAAAAAGTTCCAAGTCAGGATGGTGTGTAGCTTGCAGTGCAAGATGCAATTGGTGGTGTTGTCATATATGTGCTTCTCTTATCCTTCTAGATGGTAGAAGTCACAAGTTTAGAAGGTGCCATTGAATGAACCTTGATGAGTTGTTGCAGTGCATTGTTTAAATGGTACACACTTCTCCCATTGTGCAACAGTGATGGAAACAGTAATGCAGATGGTGGCAGATGGAAATTTCTGCTGGATTGTGTCAAGCTTCTTTAGCACTATTGGAGCTGCACACATTGAAGCAAGGGGGCAATATTCCATCACACTTGTGACTTGTGCCTTGTAGGTGATAAGCAGCCTTTGGGGATCAGCACATGTCAATTAATCACAGACAAATTCGTATCTGCTGTTGTAGCCACTGCACATATGGCTGGTCGAGTAATGTTGATGGTCAATGGCAACTCTCTAAAAATGTTAATTGTGAAGGATTCAGTGATGGTAGTGCCATTCATGTCAAGGGGAGATATCTGATTTTCTTTTGTTGAAGATTGTCATTGCCTAGCACTTGTGTGGTACAAATGTTACTTGCTATTCATCAGTCCAAACCTGAATGTTGTTCACTCTTACTGTGTATGAACATGAACTGTTTCAGTATCTGAAGAGTTTTGATTGTTACACAATCGCTAGTGAACATCCAATTTCCAATCTTATGATGGAGGGAAGGTCATTGATGAAGCAGCCGAAGATGGTTGGGTCTGGGACACTACCCTGAGGATTTCCTGCAGAGATATCATGGAGCTGAGATGATCAACCTCCAACAACTACAACACTTTACTAGGTATGACTCCAACCAGCAATGGGTTTTCTCCCTGATTCTCATTGACTGCAGTTTTGCTAGGACTCGTTGGTGCCACACTCAAACATTCCTTTGATGTCAAGAATAATCACCCTCATCTCACCGCTTGTGTTCAAATTTTTCATCCATGTTTGAAGCAACGCTGTATTGAGGTCAGGACCTGGCAGTACCAAAACTGAGCATCAGTGAGCAAGTCGTTGCTGAGGAAGTACTACTTTAAAGCACCGTCAATGGCTATTTCCATCACTTTGTTGATGATTTAGAGTAGACTGTTGGGGTGGTACTTGACCAGCTTGGATTTTCCCTACTTTACTTTTGTGGAAAGGATATACCTAGACAATTTTGCACATTCCTGGGTAAATGCCAATGTTGTAGCTGTATTGGAATAGTGTCGCTGGAGGTGTGACAAGTTCTGAAGCATTAGTCTTGGGCCCAACAAAATCTTTAAAGTCACTTCCATACCACTGCTCCTCATTCTTACTTAAACATATACAACCATTCATTCATCATTGGTGGATCCAAAATCTTGTAATTTGACTTTGGGGGAATCCACTATCAACAAAAAAAAGTTGCAGCTCAAAGAAAGGCTTCACTACTGCCTTTTCAGATAAAGCAGGGTTTAGAATTAGATTTAGATTTTATTGTCACATGTACTCAAGTACAAAAGTACATGATTACAGCAAAAATTGTACAAAGTCACCATTCCTGGCTCCAGCTTAGATACAAAGGTACCTAGGTACAAAATCACAGGTAAAAAGTATAAAAATAAATAAACAAAGTTAAAAGTTAAACATTACAGTCCTTCTAGTATAAAGTAGAAAAATAAAGAAGTAAAGTTAAAAACCCAACAGCCTTTCTGAAGTGCTGAGCCATGCTGGGTTCGCACTCCCTACAAGGGCTCAAACTCCTCTGGTCTGGCCTGTTCGCCGTGAGATCTTGGGCTGCCTGTTCTTGCCACAGCCGCAGATGTAGTCAAATAGATTTAGTCAAATATTCCCTATATTTTAGTCAAATATTCCCTACATCCTGAAAATAAATGTGAAAAGTATCTAGTAGAATGGGCAAAGCAAGAGGAAATGCTAAGATCGTTGGTGCTAATTGGAGTATCAACCAGCTCTGGAATGTAGTCAGTGTCAACCCCGTGAGTAGTAATTAGATGTGTTGTAATGTCTTAAATCATTGAGACTGAAAGCAAACTGATCATAAGTTGATTCAAATCAAGCTCATCTCTGAAACAAAAATTGTCCATGTACCTTTCCATTTATAATCTTTTTAGTAGTTTGTGCAAACTATATTGATTTTCAACTAATTGATCTGCAACTATTGATTGAAATGTATTCTAATTATGATAATTGATATCGGAGTCTTTGAATAATTATTGAACACCCACATAACTTTGTGATATTTTATCTGGAAATTGTACAGTGCTGACACAGATTAATGTATGATTGTACCTGGATATAGAATTGGTTTCTGGTACTTCAATAGTTGATAGTTCCAACACCGGGCATCAATGTACTTAAAAAGAGTGGCAGAAAAAACAAATGAGGCTTCTCTTTCACTCATGCTCAGGTTAAAGTTTGTTTGCTTTTCACCACCTATCACCACACTGGCACATTCCTCGTGAGCTCTCTAAGCCAGAGCTGTTATAAACCCTGTAAACCACCTTAATTTAGATAAAATGAAATGCAACCAAGTTGTGCTGAATGAGTTGCATTCAGCGGAGGTGGCAGCTGGACTTTGCAAATGCTAGAGAAGTGTGAGCAAAACTGATTTGAATTCCATAGCTGCTGGCCATAACTCACATGGTGTGGGTGAAGTTTGGTCTCAGTAATAATCCCCAGTGCAGTAATGAAGAGGTAGAACCTGTTGTGTGCATTCATTGGGTGTAAAACAGGTGTTAATATTTGGGCATGTATATGGGCCTATGTTAAATGCAATAATTTTTATTCTTCACCCACAAACAGAAAGTATTAAGCTAGGAGGCTGCAGGACTCTCTGCAATTCCTCAGTCACCGTGATCATGCCCAGTCCCACTGCCACGACACTGGAACCACCTCTCAGAGGGTACTTTCACCACTCTCAAAGTGTCTGCTGAAGGGGGTGGGAGGCAGGCACCCACTCCTTGCACATAAAATGTTACTGAGATTATAAATGCAAATCTAGGTATTTTTCACATTTATTTTCAGGATGTAGATAATATTTGACTAAATCTATTTGACTACATCTGCGGCTGTGGCAAGAGCAGGCAGCCCGAGGTCTCATGGCGAACAGGCCAGACCAGAGGAGATTGAGCCCTTGTAGGGAGTGCGAACCCAGCATGGCTCAGCACTTCAGAAAGACTGTTGAATTTTTAACTTTATTTCTTTATTTTTCTACGTTATACTGAGTACCATTTGGCCCAACGGCTCTGCAACGATGAGGCTAACGCTTCCAAATGCACTCATGCATAAAGTATCAAAAACACCCGGTACAGTACTCCAGCAAACTGCAAGAGTGGGGAGGTGGTAGAATTGACAAGATTATAAATGCAAACAGAGATTCAGAAAGTGGAGGGGGGCCAAGTTCACTTTGGGACATTAACCTTAACTTTTGGCTGTAAGGATAGAAATGATAATAGTGATGTAGCATTCTACAGTGCCCTGCCTCCACAGAGGTGTAATCAGAAAACCCATGTGAATAGCTCCTATGATGCTGCTTGGCCTGCTGTGTTCATCCAGCTCTACACCTTGTTATCTTAACATCCTGGGAATACCATTTACACCCAAATACCTGGTTCGAATCCGGCTATACTACCCCCAGTTCACTTAAACTGCATGGAAACTTTTGGAAACAGATTACACATATTTGCATACATATTTGGAAACATGCATTCCTGTTACCTCATTGTTCCCACTGTCCCTCCCTATAAAGTGTGTGCTGTCAGTAATCCCATTGGACTGTGAGGTTTGTTTTGGGGACTTGCTCTTGCTCTAACTCTTAAAGCCACACACAGATCTTCAAACAATTAATGGAAATCCAACTCCACAAAACTCCAGTATTCCTCTCTGATCCTTCCAATAAAGCGGGAAAGCAGTGTAGTTTAAGAAATGTTGCTTCCACAGAATACCTAAAGGTTAATTTAGTGAAGTTAGCACTTACCGTCCTGCCGGTCGCTGTCTCCTGTGCTTTCTGGACTTTGCCATAGGCTCCCTTGCCCAGTGTCTGCAGGATCTCATATCTGTGCCTCAGGTTGTGTTTATGCTGGTGTTTCTTCACAGTGCGAGAGAATTTGTTGCCGGGAGCATCTTTCCAGTCCTGCTCCTCGGGACAGTGTCTCTCCCTGGTTATCATTTTGTCTTCCGCGCACTTCTCTTTCTTCATCTTTTCCTTATCGCCCCCTCCATCTGCTGACGGCAGCCTTTCCGGGTGACAGGTGATCACTCGGTTGGAGGATTAGTAGGCTCTTTGCACAGGCATCAGGCTGACTGTCCTCTGGGAGATTCCCCCCACAGACAGCTGCCAACGTTTGTAGGGTCAGAGTCAGGGAAATTCAAACGTGTTCCCAGCTTGTATTCAGAAAGCGCGCATTGGCAGCGGGGAAAATACTCCTGTCTTGTCAAATAACACCCTGGGGAGTTACAGATGACCCCCAGGTATCTCGTTCTGTGTCCTGCTCCCTTAATCCTGCTGCACTTGCCCTCAGTTCACTGTGAGGTCAGAATACCTTCATGTGAAGTCAGAATACCTTCCGTGAACGCCCCGAAATCTAACGTTCAAACACGGTCGCAAGAAAACAAAACCTGCCTTTCAGCCATCATAACATCTGGCCAGGGTCAGGAATCAGCGAGCAGACCGGTCTTCAGGACACTGGAGCACACCAGCTCCTGGCTAATATCTCCGCTCGCACCCTTTCTACAGCTAGACAATGCCACACAACACCGTCTCTTCCATCCTGCCTTTTATCTTGGCTTGTGTCTGCCTCATGATCTGTGTCCCCGCCTCTTTATCTGCTTCAGCCTTACCATGTTCGCCATCTGTTTGTCAGCCCCTAGTGTTGCTGCTGTCTGTGTGTCTACCATTGTTTATCTGACAGCCACGCTACTTGCTGGATGCACATTGCATTCTCCCCATTCAGTACTTAACAATGATATCACTCGCTTCCCAAAGCCCCTCTACAGCTACTCCGCTCTCTTTCGCTGTTCCTTTTTTAAATGCTCAATTTTGAGTTGTAACAGCACCTCATCTCACCTCTGCAGGTTTGATATTGTTCTGAGGAAGGGTCACCGGACCCGAAAGGTTAATTCTGATTTTTCTGCACAGGTGCTGCCAGACCTGCTGAGCTTTTTCCAGCAATTTTGGTCTTTGTTCCTGATTTGCAACATTCGCAATTCTTTCGGTTTTGATTTTGTCTCTAATCAATATTTTATATCTTTGTTCTGAAAGATTTTGCTCGTGTTTAATTTCTTCCAAGTTGTATTTTTAGTCGCCTGATTTAAAAAAAAATTGGTCCCTTTGGTTCATGAAAATGGGGATGACAGAAAATTGACCAACCACAATGCTCCAAAAGAGCCAAATTCCCTCAGAACTGGGAGAACCTGTGAGCACTTTAACTCAGTGGAGATCAAGCAAAACCTAGCTGCAAATGACACAACAGAGGTTTGGTAAAGACAACAAGGTGTAGAGCTGGATGAACACAGCAGGCCAGGCAGCATCAGAGGAACAGGAAAGCTGATGTTTCGGGTCGGGACCCTTCGTCAGAAATATTTCAGAGCTCCCTCCCACCTCCCCCATTTCTGAAGAAGGGTCCAGACCCAAAAAACCAGCTTTCCTGCTCCTCTGATGCTGCCTGGCCTGCTGTGTTCATCCAGCTCTACACCTTGTTGTCTCAGACTCCAGCATTGGCAGTTCCTACTATCTCTGAGCGGTTTGGTAAAGTCTGTTTCACTGGCCCACACCCAGAAGTCCAGTTGGTTAGCTTACCCCCTTTAACCTATTTGAGTTGCCTTGCCCTATTACAAAAATAAGTTCCTATTCATGAAAGATTCCTTGTTTTGTTCATTTGATTTGATTTGATTTATTATTATCACATGTACCTGGGTACAGTGAAAAGTTTGGTTTTGCCTGAAGTACATGCAGATCACACCAAGGTTCCATTCAATGTCCAATAGCTCAGGGAAATGAACATACATCTCATGCTGGGGAATATTAATACATAAACTCCATAATTGCACAAATTGCACGATTGTTTATAGTACTTGTTCATTTCAAAAGCAATTCCCAATTGGTTTGATCCAGCATGAATTAGGTAGGCAGCTATCTAGCTTATCTTTTGATAGGGTTTGCTTGTATAGATTTCTGATAAACTGTTTATACAGGAATTGAAATGGGGCAGACTCCTGCAACTTGAAAACAGTGTCTGGGAAGCTCAGGCATCTTCTATGACATCCTGAGGATTATTGACAGCCTGATGCACATGAGGTTTCTTTTGTTCATCACTTCGACTTCAAAGCACTTGGATTGGTTAATTTCAAACAACTTTTATCTTTATTCTGCAATCTGCCTGAAGCTGTCAAAGCTGGAGAGGCAGGATATACCAGGGAGGGTCGGCAGTAAAACCCCGCATGTAAAGTAGTGAAGTAGATCCTAAGCTCAGATTTTGCTCACCTACTTCCAACAAGACCAGAGTTGCAAGGGGTTAAAGTGTCAACATTGTGGCAGTGGGGAAAGACCACCATCTGTGGTCTTTCTGTCAAAGTACAATGGGGGTCCGTTCTGTTGTTAGACCCTCGTGTTGCCTCAAATGTAAATATGTGTAAATAATGTCCTGTATAAGTAAGAAATGCCTTTGGCCTTTGCAACCGCAGGGAATGTTAGACCCAAAGTTTGTTTTTCTTAATATGCAAAGACTGTACAGAACCTGCTCTAGCATATGTGTTTGTACATAAAGGTATTTTAAGGAATAAAATATATTTTAGCAATAAAAAAACAAGTGTGGCAGTTACCCACACATGCCATGAACATTATAACAAGGAGACTGCAGATGCAGGAAGCCAGAGTCAATAGGTGTGAAGCTGAAAAAGCACAGCAGGTCAGACAGCATCCAAGGAGCAGGAAAGTCAACATTTTGTGACTCGGGAGGGGGATGGAGTCCCAGAAGTAAGTAGAGGGAGGAGTGTGGGGCTGGATGAAGGGTAGGTGGGACAGTGGTAAGTGGATGCAGGTAGGAGGTTATTGTGATTGGTCATGGGAAGGGTGGAGCGGATAGGTGAGTAGGAAAATGGGCAGGTTAGGTCAGGTCAGGGAGGCGAGGAGGAGGGGGAGAGCTGGACATGGGTTAAGATTGGAGGTGGAGGGATGTTGAAGCTGGTGAGGTCAATATTGAGGCCATTGGGCTGTAAGCTCCCAAAATGAAATATCAGGTGTTGTTCCTCCAGTTTACGTTTGGCCTCACTCTGACAGTGGAGGAGGCCAATGATGAACATGTCATCAGGGGAGTGGGAGGGGGAATTAAAATGGATGACAACCGGAAGGTCAGATTGGTTGGCACGTGCAGAGCGGAGATGCCCTGCAAGCTGGTCCCAGAGTCTGCGTTTGGCCTCCTCGATATAGAGGAGACCACATCGGGAGCAACAGATGCAATAGGTCAGGTTGGATAAAATGCAGGTGAACCTCTGCCGGATCTGGAAGAATTGTTGGGGGCCTTGGACGGAGGTGAGAGGGGAGGTGTAGGTGGAGGGCATGGGTTGCACCTCTTGCAGTTGCAGGGAAAGGTACTGGGGGTGATACGGGGGTTGGTGGGGAGTGTGGAGCTGACGAGGGAGATGCGGAATAAACGGTCCCTGTGGAAAATGGATAGGGTGGGGAGGGAAATATCTTTTTGGTGGTGGGATCTGATTGTAGGTGGGAGAGATGTTGGAGGATAATGTGTTGGATTCAGAGGTTGGGGGGGTATACGTGAGGACTAAGGGGACTCAATCCTTATTATTATTGGGGCAGTTTGAGGGCACAAGCGTGGGAAATGGAGGAGATGTGGTTGAGGGCATCCTTAATTACAGAGGAGGGGAAATTCCGATCCCTAAAGTAAGAGGATATCTGGGATGTCCTGGAGTAAAACGCCTCCATCCTGGGAGCAGATACGGCAGAGCCAGAGGAATTGAGAATATAGGATAGCATTTTTGCAGGAAGGTGGGTGAGAGGAGGTGTAGTTGAGATAGCTGTGGGAGTCAGTGGCTTTGAAAAGGATGTCAGTGGTGAGTCAGTTCCTGGAGATGGAGACGGAAAGATCCAGGAGGGAGAGGGAGGTGTCAGAAATAGTCCAGGTGAATTTGAGGGTGCGGTGGGAGGTGTTGGTGAAGTTGATGAACTGCTTGAGCTCCAATGCAGTCATCAAAATAGCAGAGAAAGAGGTGAGGCTTAGTGCTGGTGTAGTTGGGGAAGAGGGACTGGTCCACAAATCTTATAAAGAAGCACACATAGCTCAGCCCCATGCGGGTGCCCATGGCCACCCCTTTGGTTTGTAGGAAGTGGAATCAGTGGAAAAAATGTCAAGGGCGAGGACCAGTTCTGCCAAGCAACTGAGAGTGTCAGTGGATGGGGACTGGGTGGGCCTATAAGAAAGGAAGAATCACAGGGCTTTTAGGGGATGGGATGCAGGTGTGAAGGGACTGTATGTCCGTAGTGAAATTGAGGTATTGGGGCCAGGGAATTGAAAGTTTTGGAAAAGGTGGAGGGCATGGGTTGTGTCATAAATGTAGGCAGGGAGCTCCTGGACCAAAGGGGAAAGAACAGAGTCAAGGTAGGAGGAGATGAGCTCAGTGGGGCAGGAGCATGGAAGAGACAATGGGTTGACCCGGGCAGTTGGGTTTATTGATTTTGGGAAGGAGATAGCAATGGGCGGTGCAGGGCTGGGGATCTATCAGATTAGAAGCTGTGAATGGGAGATCTTCCAAAGTGATGAGGTTGTTGATGGTCTTGGATATGATGGCTTGGTGATCGGAGGTGGGGCCATGATTGATGGGACGGTGGGAGGAGGTGTCAGAGAGTGGGCATCTGGTATTAGTGATGTAGAGGTCAGTTCGCCATACCACTGTAATGCACACCCCTTATTGGCGGGTTTAAGGTGAAGAAGGTGTGAGGCTCCGAAAGCTTGTGTTTTCAAATAAACCTGTTGGACCTGGTGTCATGTGATTTCTGACCCAAAGTTAAAATTGGAGCATAGAGTTCAGATTAATTTTTGTGTGAGGCATGTTACTATTTTCTATGCTTTGAGCAAGATAATGTTTAGAGAAGTGCAACTGTACTCTTAGTGCACTGGCTGGCTTGTCATATTCACATAATCTTTATCTGTGTTGTTAAGTATCTTAGTGCAGTATGAGCCAACCATTAAACAAACATCACTTGAAATATAGTGTGAGCATAGTGCAGCTGAAAATATATGGATTTACGGAGCTGTAGAACAGACGGGTATTGAAAGAAACAACAAGGAAGAAGTTTTTTAAAAATCAGTATCTTTGAATTACAGTGTGACAGAAAATGGCTGAAAACTTTCCATTTCCTGCTGCTGTGGAAATGAAAAGAGATATGAGACAGAAATGGAACTTTTTCCACTCTCAATGACAAAACTACAAAATAGCTCTAAATTTAGTTAAACAAACCGAGTAGATAAGAATTGCAACTCTGCTATCAGCACTAGGAAAAGAGTGCTACAAACTGTATTAAAGTCTACATCTCACTGAAGAATAGAAAAGCCAGACAGGAGAGATTTTATTGGCATTGAAGATGCTCTTTGAACCCCATACCAAGGTTATTTATGAATAGTATTTTTTGATCATCAGACCTCAGGAGGAGAGGGAGACTATTGATCAGTATGTGACTGCATGATAACAGCTAGCTCAATCCTGTGAGTATAGACAA